TTCAAAAGCTGATTTTAAACATCATCGAGTCAACTATTGAGCAGTTCTTCTCAAGATTTGTGAAATTCAGAGAACTGGAAGAGACAGCAAAATTCATGAGGTTTCCAGACAGCATGAAACTGGAGGAACTAAACGTACAAATGTTTTCATGGATAGACATGGCTTACTTTGAAATGCAGTTGATTCAATTTCAGAGTAGCTCAATTTGGAAGCAGAAATTTATTGACCTTAGAGTTGACTTGGAAAACATTGAAAAAAAGCGATTAGAGCCAGGAGTACCAGAGAGAAGTGTCAAAAACAAACTATTGAGGACTTAGAATGCCATTCCAGAAAATTTTTTCTGTTTAAAAAACTTTGCAACAGCGTTACTCTCCATGTTTTCATCCACATACGCTTGTGAATCTTTGTTTCTCAGTGATGAATTTTGTTGTCTCGTAATAGGAGTAGCCTGACGGATGAAAGTAGTAGCTTGTGCATATCTCTGAAGGTCACAAAATATAAACCTGATGTAAAATCTCTGTCATCAGTGATGCAGCAGCAAAAGTCCCACTGATAATATCAAACGGAGTCATAAAGTTTTCTGTCAGACTATCAGTGTACATGTATACATTAAAAAATAAATGTATTTTTCATCATATATTTGTCACTCGAATGAATTTTATTATTTCTTCAAGGTTCTTCACATACATACACCTTAAGAGATATCAAGTAGGCGTAACATGTTCTCAAAAAATTAGGGTTGGCATGCAGAAGAATTTTGAGTCAGAGATTTTGCTGGTTTTGTCACGCACTCACAAAAAGGTTGCCCACCCCGCCCTAGATGCTTCATAAGGAAGAAATGATATAAAAGTGGCGCTAACATCAGTGGGATGGATTCGGATCCCTGGCTGGCAAGGGCGCCCTACCGCCCACCCACCCGGAGCCAATCGTGTCCTGCCCCCCCACCTCTTTGGGATGGGAGCCAGACGCAGGGCTCACGGCTGGAGAGTGCAGCTGTGGAGGTGCGAGCCCGCGGCTTCGCCGCCTGGCTTCATCCGAAAGGACGTCCGGTCTAATTAGCATATTGTGCTTTCATTATTATAGATAGATAATGCCATCCAGGAGAATGGGAAGATAATATTCAAAAGCCCAAACTCCCAATGGTGTGTAGGTTATAGATTGTATAGGGCAGTGGTCAGCAAACTCATTAGTCAACAGAGCCAGATATTAACAGTACTTCTTCAAAATAGACTCGCCCAGGCCGAAAACTGACTTCTGCATGTGAGCCACGAAGTTTCAATCGCACTGTACGCGCGCCCGCATGTGGTATTTTGTGGAAGAGCCCCACTCAAGGGCCAAAGAGCCACATGTGGCTCGCAAGCCGCAGTTTGCCGACCACAGGTATAGGGCAAAATCACAAGACACCAGAGGTGGGAGGTTCAGAAGCTATGGTGGAAGCTGATTGGTTAGAGGTCAGGTAGGGTAATCTATTATTTCTTCTGGTCTTTTAAAAAAAATTTTTATTGTTGATAGTATTACAGAAATTTCTCCCAACCCTCCCCCTTATCCCCCTCTTCCTAGCCCCTACCCACCCTACCCCCCAGGTCTTCCATGGACTATGTCTATCTATATATATAAAAGCCTAAGCGACTGTTATGACCGAACCACCAGAATGACAGGTTGACCAGTCGCTATGACATGCACTGGCCACCAGGGCGCAGATGCTCAATGCAGGAGCTGCCCCCTGGTGGTCAGTGTGCTCCCATAGACAACGTCCTGTGGCCGGCCAATCTCCTGTGGTCCCTCCCCTCAGCCGTTCAGCCAACCTCCCGCAGCACCTCCCCCAGGCTCACCAACCTCCCATGGCCTCCCCCGGCTTGCCAGCCAACCTCCCCCCACCTCCAGCTCCTGTAGCTAGACATTTGTAAGCAAGGATCTGAAGTCCTGCCAAGAAGAAGTTAATGTTCTATCAGGAGCACAGTGTGACTTGCAAGCGAGTCAAGCTGGGTCAAGATTGCACACAATCTTGAGTTCCAGGAACATTTACCTCCTTGAGATGGCTAAGATTAAATAGTCGTGCGTGTAGAGCAGAAAGGGAGGGCACAGCTGCAAGTTGTCTTCAATACGCTATTGTAATAATATAGAACAAAACAAGATTTAGTTGATTAACTGCTGACGCACTAACCTTGTACCAAACCCCAATAAAAGCGATGGTGAGAGTGCAGAGTTTGCTACATGCCTGAGCAAGCTGTAACCCTCTGTCCGGCATCAATCATCCTGTGTGCTCGTCTTACCTCTGCGTCTTTGGTTCATTAAACATCCCTCAACAGCTCCTGCCCCCGGCTGGCCAACCTCCCACAGCCCTGATCGGTACTGGGCGACATGGCCCCAATCGGCCCCGATTGCAGGCCAGGCCGAGGAACCCCACCTGTGCACAAATTTGTGCACTGAGCCTATCATAAGTATATAAGTTCTTTGGTTTATCTCTTCTCATCCCCCCAACCCCACGTTGAGGTATGTCAATTTGATCCATGCCTCCATGCTTCAGTTCTTATTTTGTTGGTCAATTCATTCTGTTCATTATATTCCACAAATAAGTGCTATCATGTTATATTTATCTTTCTCAGATTGGCTTATTTTGCTTAGCATCATATTTTCCAGGTCTATCCATGCTATCCCAAATGGTAAGAGATCCCTCTTTTTTACAGCTGCATAGTATGCCATAGTGTAAATGTCTCCAAGTTTTTTATTGATTCATCTACAGATGGGCACTTGGGCTGTTTCCAGATCTTCACTATTGTAAATAATGCTGCTATGAACATAGGGGCGTGAATATTCTTTCTGATTGGTGTTTCAGGGTTTTTAGGATATATGCCTAGAAGTGGGATTGCTGGGTCAAACAGAAGTTCCATTTTTAATTTTTTGAGAAAACTCCATACTGTTTTCCATAGTGACTGTACCAATCTGCATTCCCACCAGCAGTGAACTAGTGTTCCCTTTATTCCACATTCTCTCCAGCATTTGTTGTTTGTTGATTCTTTTATGATAGCCATTCTGACAGGTGTGAGGTGATATCTCATTGTGGTTTTAATTTGCATTTCTCAGGTGACGAGTGACTTTGAGCATTTTTTCATATGTCACTTGGCCATTTGTATGCCCTCTTTGAAGAAATATGTATTCATGACTTCTCCCCATTTTTTCATTGGATTGTTTGTCTTCCTTTTGTTGAGTTGTATGAGTAATTTGTATATTTTGGCTATCAACCCCTTATCAGATAGATCAGTGGTAAATAGGTTCTCCCATACAGTGGGTTCCCTTTTCATTTTGTTGGTGGTTTCTTTTGCTGTGCAGAAGCTTTTTATTTTGATGTAGTCCCATTTGTTTATTTTCTCCTTAGTTTCATTTGCCCTAGGACCCTGGTCGGCAAACTGCGGCTCGCAAGCCACATGCGACTTTTTGTCCCCTTGAGTGTGGCTCTTCCACAGAATACCACGTGCGGGTGTGCATGTACAGTGCAATTGAAACTTCGTGGCCCATGCACAGAAGTCGGTATTTTGTGGAAGAGCCACATTCAAGGGGCCAAAGAGCAGCATATGGCTCACGAACCACAGTTTGCCGACCACGGCCCTAGGAGATGTATCTGTAAACATTGCTATGTGAGATATTTGAGATTTTACTTCCTATATTCTCCTCTAAGATTTTATGGTTTCAGTAGAGGCCTAATGCACGAAATTCATGCATGGGGTGGGGAGGGATCCCCTCAGCCCGGCCTGCATTCTCCTGCAGTTCAGGACCCCTCGGGGGATGTCGTGGCCTAAACTGGCAGTCGGACATCCCTCTCGCAATCCAGGACGCTGCATGTACCATTGACCATACTTTTCATACAGGTGAAAGGCATCTTGTTGTTGTATGGACAGCTACATTTTTTTTTTTGCCCTGATTATAAAAAGTAGTACATAACATGATCCTTCTGAGAGAGTAGTACTATATTCCCCATCTATGGGTGGAAAACTGAAGCAGAGAGAAGTTAAGTAATTGGCTTTGTCACACAGTTAATAAGTCTCAGAATCAGGGCTGACCACAAAATGTGCAAGCCAGAGTCCATACATGTCATTGCTGCATCATCCTGTTTTTTTAGTGTTATAGTAGCCTTGCCAGGATTTAATTTTTAAATCTAAGAGACTGTTCCCAATATATAGGGTAGGATCCCTAGGCCTGGCCAGTGATCAGGGCCATCTGTGAGGCAATGTGGGCAGGGCAATTGCCCCTCTCTCCCCGCCCCACTGGCACCCGCCTTGGCTGGCGGCCTGGTGCCGCCCACTGGCCGGCCCCACCCCCCATCGCTGGTTGCCTCCCTCTCAGGATACAGATGCTCAACTCTGCCCCCTGGGAGTCAGTGCACATGATAGTGACCAGTCGTGCCGCCATTCGGTTGATTTGCATATTAGAGATAGGATGCCTTATGTTTAAGTCTTTTATCCATCTTGAGTTTATTTTTGTGTGTGGTGTAAGTTGGTGGTCTAGTTTTATGTTTTCGCATGTGTCTGTCCAGTTTTCCCATTTGTTGAAGAGACTATTTATACTGCATTGTATGTTCTTGTCTCCTTTATCAAATATTAATTGACCATAATGGTGTGGGTCAGTTTATGGGGTCTCTGTTCTAATCCATTGGTCTATATGCCTATTCTTGTTCTAGTAAAAGGCTGTTTTGGTAATAATGGCTTTATAGTATAGTTTGTTATCTGGCATTGTGATCCCTCCTACTTCGTTCTTCTTTCACAAGATTGCTACAGATATTCGGGGTCTTGTATGGTTCCATATAAATTTTTGGAATATTTGTTCTAGCTCTGTGAAGTATGCAATTATACTTTCACCACTGAATCTAAATTTCACCATTGAATCTAAAGATTGCTTTGGGTAGAATAGCCATTTTAATGATGTTAATTCTTCCAACCCATGAACATGGTATATGTTATATGTTTCTATTTGTTTGTATCTTCCTTATTTCTATTTTTTTTTTTGCGGGCGCCAGCACCAACTATCACCAGCTGCCCAAGTATCAAAAAATTATGCTTCCAAAATCTCTTGATGTCGACTTTGCATGTAGAGCAATCAAGCTGCTCTACATGTGACACTCAGAACAGAACCCATTTTTCTTATTTCTTTTTTCAATGTCCTATAGTTTTCTAATCACGGGTCTTTTACCTACTTGGTTAATTTTATTCCTAGGTATCTTTTTTTGTTGTTGTTGCATTGGTAAATGTGATTGCTTTTTTAGTTTCTGTTTCTGAGAGTTCATTATTTGTATATAAAAATGTCATCGATTTCTGATGTTGATTTTGTATCCGGCTACCTTGCTGAATTCATTTATTAAGTCTAGTAGTTTCCTGGTAGAGTCTTCAGGGTTTTCTAAGTACAATATCATGTCATCTGTGAATTATGACAGTTTTACTTCCTCCTTTTCGATTTGGATGCCTTTTATCTGTTCTTATCTGATTGCTGTGGCAAGGACTTCTAGTACTTTGTTGAGTAAGAGTGGTGAAAGTGGACATCCCTGTCTTGGTCCTGTTGTTAAGGGAAACACTTTTAGTTCTTGCCTATTGATTATTATTTTGGCTGTAGCTTTGTCATATATGGTCTTTATGTATTCCCTCTTTACTGAGCATTTTTATCAAAAATGGGTGCTGGATTTTGTTGAGTGCTTTTTCTGTATCTATTGATATGATCACATGGTTTTATCTTTCAGTTTGTTTATGTGATGTATCATACTTATTGATTTGTGTATATTCTACCAGCCTTGCATCCCTGGAATAAATTCTACTTGATCATGGAATATAATCATTTAATTTATTGCTGGATCTGATTTGCTAATAATTTGTTGAGGATTTTAGCATCTGTGTTCATCAGGGATATTGGCCTGCAGTTTTCTTTCTTTGTAGTGTCTTTATCTGGTTTTGGAATTAGTATAATGCTGGCTTCATAAAAAGAGCTTGAAAGTGTCCCTTCCACTTGAATTTTTTGGAATAGTTTGAGGAGGACAGGTGTTAGTTCTTGGAATGTTTGTTAAAGTTCTACTGTAAATCCATCTGGTCCAGGACTTTTGTTTGCTGGAAGTTTTTTAATTACTGCTTCAATTTCATTGGTTGTTATTGGCCTTTTCAGGTTTTCTGATTCTTCTTGACTGAGTTTTGGAAGATTGTATGTTTCTAGGAATTTGTCCATTTCACCCAGGTTGTTAGCATATAGTTGTTCATAGTACACTTATAATCCTTTGTAATTCTGTGGTGTCTGTTGTTATATCTCTCCTTTCATTTCTGATTTATTTATTTCGGTCCTCTCTCTTTGTTTCCTAATGAGACTGACTAGGGGTTCCTCAATCTTGTTTATCTTTTCAAAGAATCAGCTCTTGGATTTATTGGCCTTTTGTACTGTTTTGTTTTGTTTTGTTTTTCAGTCTCTATGTCATTTATTTCCACTCTGATCTGCAGTATTTCCTTCCTTCTACTTCCTCTGGGCTTTTCTTACTGTTCTCTTTCTAATTCATTTAGTTGTAGGGTTAAATATTTTATTAGTCCTTTTCCTTGTTTCTTGAGATACGCCTGTAGTGCTATGTACTTCTTTTTCAGTACTCCTTTCGCCATGTCCCATATGTTTTGAGTGGTTGTGTGTCCCTTTTCCTTTGTTTCCAGGAAGTTTTTAATTTTTTGTTTGATCTCATTGGTAACCCATTCATCCTATCTAATAATAGAGAAACATGGTAATTAACCGTAACTTCACTACCCTTCCCATTGGCTAATCAGCGAGATATGCAAATTAACTGCCAACCAAGATGGCGGCCAGCAGCCAGGCAGCTGAAGCGAACAGGAGGCTTGCTTGCTCCAGTGATGGAGGAAGCCAAGGTTCCCTGCCTGCCACCACCCAGCTCTCAGCTGCACTCTAAGCAACTATGTTGCAATTATAGAAGCTAAACAAGCCGGCCTCGGAGCTGGAGCTGAAACAGTATTTCAATTATAGAACCCAAACAAACCCAGATCAGCAGCCGAGGTCTCAGAGCTGGAGCCAAGCCTCAGAGCTAAAGCCGGCTCTCAGCTCCAGTGACAGCCATAGAAGGTAAATAAATCCCAGAATAAAAAAAAAAAGAAAAAAAGGAGAGGTTGGTAGCTTCAGTCGCCCGCCAGCCTGAAAACGGCCCTCAGCCCCTCACCCAGACTGGCCAGGCACCCCAGTGGGGACCCCACCCTGAAGGGGGTGTGACCAGTTGCAAACAGCCATCATCCCCTCATCCAGGCTGGCCAGGCACCCAAGCGGGACCCCTACTCTGATCCGGGACACCCTTCAGGGCAAACCAGCTGGCCCCCACCCATGCACCAGGCCTCTATCCTATGTAGTAAAAGGGTAATATGCCTCTCAGCACCAGGATCAGCGGAGCCGCGAGGCCTCCTGGCACCGGGATCAGTGGAGCCTCGAGGCCTCCTGGCACCGGGATCAACGGAGCCGCGAGACCTCCCGGCCTGGGATCAGCGGAGCAGCGAGGCCTCACTGCCCCGGTGTCAAGCGGAGCCGTAAGGCCTCCTGGTACCGGGATCAGCTGAGCTGCAAGGCCTCACTGCCCCGGTGTCAAGCGGAGCAGTGAGGCCTCCTAGCACCGGGATCAGCTGAGCCGCGAGGCCTCCTAGCACTGGGATCAGCGGAGCCGCGAGGCCTCCCAGCACTGGGATCAGCGGAGCCGCGAGGCCTCCTGGCCCCTGGAGCAGCGTGACAGGGGGCAGCACCCAAACCCCCTGATCGCCCTGCGGCTCTGTGTGTGACAGGGGGCGGGGCCACAACCTCCCTATCCGCCCTGCTCTGTTCATGACAGGGGAAGGCGCCCCAACCCCCTGATCGGCCCTGCTCTGTGCCTGATAGGGGGGAGCTCCCCAACCCCCTGATCGGCCCTGCTCTGTGGGTGATAGGGAGCGGCGCCCCAACGCCCTGATCCGCCCTGCTCTGTGTGTGACGGGGTGGAGCCCCAACCCCCTTCATCGGCCCTGCTCTGTGCGTGACAGGGGGGAGCTCCCCAACCCCCTGATCGGCCCTGCTCTGTGTGTGACAGGGGGCAGCGCCCAAACCCCCTGATCAGCCCTGCTCTGTGCGTGAGGGGGGGGGGGGCCACAACCTCTCCATCGACCCTGCCTTGAGTGTGACAGGAGGCGGTGCCCCAACCCCCCAATCGGCCCTACCCTGAGCGTGACTGGGGGTGGCATCGCAACCTCCCGATCCGCCCTGTTCTGTGCACGACAGGGGGTGGCGCCCCAACTCCCCAATCAGCCCTGCTCTGTGCCCGACCAGGGGCTGCACCTAGGGATTGGGCTTGCCCTCTGCCACCCGGGAGTGGGCCTAAGCCAGCAGGTCATTATCTCCCGAGGGGTCCCAGACTGTGAGAGGGCACAAGTGAGGCTGAGGGACACTCCCCACCCCACCCCCCACCAGTGCACAAGTTTTTGTGCACCGGGCCTCTAGTTGTTTAATAATATGCTATTTAGCTTCCATGAATTTGAGTGTTTTTTATTTTTTTTTATTGTAGCTGATTTCTGACTCCATGCCTTTGTGATCAGAGAAGATGCTTGGTATTATATCAAGCTTCTTGAATTTGTATAGACTTGTTTTGTGCCCTAACATGTGTTCTTTTTTTGAGAATGTTCCATGTGTGCTTGAGAAGAATGTATATTCTGTTGCTTTGGGGTGACATGTTCTGTAAATACCAGTTAGATCCATCTGATCTAGTTTGTCATTTAAGGCCTCTGTTTGCTTGTTCATTTTTTTTCTGGAAGATCTATCCAGTGATGTCAGTGAGGTGTTAAGTCCCCTACTATGACTGTATTGCTGTCAGTCTCTCCCATAAAGTCTGTTAAGAGTTTTTTATGTACTTTGGTCCTCCTATATTGGGTGCTTATATGTTTACAGGGGTTCTGTTTTCTTGTTGAATCATTCCCTTTAGTATTATGAAGTGGCCTTCTTTGTCTCTTGTTATGGCCTTTGTTTGAAGTCTGTTTTGTCTGATACGAGTATTGCTACCCTAGCTTTTTTTTCCCTTTCCATTTGCATGGAATATATTTTGCCATCCCTTCACTTTCATTCTGTGTATATCTTTTGTTCTGAGTTGGGTCTCTTATAGACAGCATAATATGGATCATGTTTTCTTTTTTCTTTTTCTTTTTCTTTTTAAGTGATGATTTTTTTTTAATATATTTTATTGATTTTTTACAGACAGGAAGGGAGAGGGTTAGAGAGTTAGAAACATCAATGAGAGAGAAACATCGATCAGCTGCCTTCTGCACACCCCCTGCTGGGGATGTGCCCGCAACCAAGGTACATGCCCTTGACCGGAATCTAACCTGGGACCCTTGAGTCCACAGGTCAACGCTCTATCCACTGAGAGCCAAACCGGTTAGGGCTGGGTCATGTTTTCTTATCCATTCAGTCTCCCCATGTCTTTGGACTGGAGCATTTAATCAATATACATTTAAAGTTATTGACAGGTATGTATTTATTGCCATTTTTATTTTCTTTATGCCTATGGTCCTCTCTTTCTCCTTTTCTTCTTAACATTTCTTGCATTGCTGTTTTGGTGATAATGTATTTATTCAACCTTTCTTTGTCTGGAAAGCTTTTTATTTCATTTTAAATTGTAAATGATAGCCTTGCTGGATACAGTAATCTTGGATTTAGGTCCTTGCTTTTCATTACTTTGAGGATTTCATGCCACTCCCTTCTGGCCTGAAGTGTTTCTATTAAGAAGTCAGCTGACAATGTAATGGGAACTCCTTTGTAGGTAATTTTCTGTTTCTCTCTTGCTGTCTTTGAGATTCTTTCTTTGTCTTCAACATTTGCCATTTTAATTATGGTGTGTCTAGGTGTAGATCTGTTTGGGTTCATCTTGATTTGGGATTCTCTGTGCCTCCTGAACTTGTGTGGCATTTTCCTTCACCAGGTTGGGTTTTCTGTCATTATTTCTTTAAATGGGTTCTCTGTTCCTTGCTCTCCCTCTTCCCCTCCTGGTATTCCTATATTGCGAATTTTGTTACATTTCATGTTGTCCCAGAGCTCCCTTAAGCTATCTTCCTGCTTTTTAATTCTTTTTTTTATTTGCTGCTCTAATTGGGTATTTATTTCTAC